GAGCCATACACTAAAGGCCCTATAGTTAAAGGCCTCTTTATATTTAAAGGTCTATAGTTAAAGTTCTCTTTCTACTTGCTTCTATGACTATTGAGGGCATAGACAGATTACTATCTTGTTATCGGATACATCAGAGGCTTTGGTTCTTTACTCCTAGCTGTTAGTTGAATTACACTGCAAGGAAATAAAGACATTGTTCCAGAAATTTTGCTAAACTTTCTCTGAAACAAGTTTTACATATTGTCTTGAGAATAACTTGTCTTTATCACTACTAGGCTTATCACAATTTCTTAGCTAATGTTTCTGAATGAGATATACAACTTGTCCATCATAGAACACCTGCTTTTAAAATTATAGGAAAGGTCTGGGCAAAACTAAGTGGGGAAAAAAAGAGGTCTCCTATCCTTTCCTCTGTTTTAGGACATTGACTACCCTCATAACTCTTTTCTGTCTTGTCACTACTTACTAATCACTCAAGCATGAAAGATAAAAGAGAGAAAAATAATTTTTGACAAAATATTGCTCATTAAAAACGCAAGAAAACTAAACAGATAGCTATAGCAAAAAAAAAAAAAAAAAAAAACCCCATCTAACCAAATTGGGAAAATCACCAGAACTCTGCAAGACACTTTGTCTAAATGTTAAATAATTTTAAAATATTAAAATATATCTTTCATAGCAACTCTGAGGTCTGATGCAGAGCAAGCTTCTTAGCAGAACAAATATAAAATGAAGATGAAGGACCCTATAAAATAAATTATGTTGGAAAATGTGGAGGTTAGAGATATTCATTTTGCAGCTCCAAAGGAAACATCCATATTATGTACTCTTATCTTTGGCCCCAAAAAGAAAAAGTCTTGAAGGTCCTTGTTCCAATGGAATGCTCCTCCCTATCTGACCAAATCCCTAAGAGATCCACTGAACACCAATCACAGGACCTTTGTAAATTCCACATCTGAAGTACTGAATCTCATTACATATACTATAAAATCTTAAATGGAAGTATTTTGGTCAACAGACTTTAATTTTTATTGAAATCTAGGGGGAGAATGAAAAGGACAAAACTATAATAACTAAATTAAAAGATGATTAAAGTTGTTTATTTTGATATGGTTGCAAACACCTCACAAATTTTATGTCTCTAATAATGTAATTAATTTAATATTTTTCCTCTCCCTGCTTCCCCCCAAAGTCAGCTTTCAAAAAAATCATTTTGGCTTTTATATCTAGATGGTTGAAGTATGTGTGACATCATATCATTTAGTGTGTTATGTTTTGATATGTATTTTATAACAACATACCTTTACCTCTAATCTTTCAGACTGTATTGTGCATTAAGAAAAGGCAAAACTAAAGTGGGGCCAAAATTTGCATATAATCATGCTATACTGCTCTTATAAAAATGGGGCAAAAATAAGCTGCCAAAGTTTGTATATAATCACATTGTATTATACTTTAAAAATGGGGCAAGACATTAACATTTTAAATAATAGACAAAATAATATAAAAGCTAGTTTATTTGCAAAGTTATGGAAAGAAAATACAGGAAAGATTTACCTGTCATCTGCAGTTAAGAATAAAAGTGTGAAGGTAATGGTGATTTAATCCTTTTATATTTATTTCCCCCAAATCAAGAATATTACAGTGAGCCCTGGCTGAGTGGCTCAGTTGGTTGGAATGTTGTCCCATAACCAAAAAGTCTGTAAGTTCAATTCTTGGTCAGGCACATACCTGGGTTGTGGGTTCTGTCCCCTATTGGGGCGCATATGGGAGGCAGCTAATCAATGTTTCTTTCTCACATTTCTTTCCCCTTCCTTCCTCCCTCCCTTCCTTCCTTCAGCCTTTCTGCCTTTCTTTTGTTCCTTTCTCTTTCTTTCTCCTTCTCTCTCTCTCCCTTTCCTTCTTCTTTCCTCCCTTTTTTCCTTCCTTCCTCTCTCTCTCTCTTCCTCTATCTATAAAATCAATAAACATATCCTCAGGTGAGGATTCAAAAAAAGGTAAAAAAAAAGAATGTTAGAGTGAAAAGCTAGTTATGTTCTGAACAAATTAAGCAAAATAATGCCAATTATATTGTCAAAACCAAAGACAACTTTTTTATTTTTATTTTTGCATGTTTTGTAGGAAAAACCTCAAGGAGAAGAGTTTAGGGCAAATACCTATGGTCTTGGCGAATTCCGTTAGATAGTATAACTCCACATCCACATTTTGGCTCAGTCATTCTTAGGTTTTAGATTTTTTATAGTTATCTCAATTGAGTAGACTAAATAAATTACCTATTGTAACATAAACAAGAGAATATATACAACTTAATTCTGATCTAGGGTGTTCCTCAAAATCCTCTTTCTCTTTTTTTTTTTCCACATCTTCTTTGGCACTGGTGTTTTCTTCAAATACACATCTTTATATTTTTACTGTATCCTGTTCTTTGGCATTTGTTTTTATTGACATTCCATTCATTATGCAAACATCTCTTCTTAAACTTGCTAGTAGTATGATGAAAAGTCTCATTGCTTGTCATGCTAGCCAAGTCAGGATACGCAGTTTGGTGTTTCAGCCAAATTTGATCACTTCCTACATGGCTGGTTAGGTATGGTCAGAAACACTCATAGTGACTCTCAGACTCCCTTGTAGTTAACTTTCTGATAATATTCAATGGGTCCTCCCCCTCCAAAGTATTGTTCTTTTTGTGACACTGATACAAACCCTTCTCACTAGTTTTAAAAGCTCATATCCTCAAATCACCTTAATGTGGTATTAAAATCACATGTAATGGCCTCAGATAAATTACTTAAGTTTTAAGTCATACTCATTAGCTTATTCAACATTTTTAACCATGTGTAATAGGTTCTGGGGATAGGAGCTGAATATGATAACCAAGGTTTTCTCATCTGTAAAATGTCTTTAGTGATAGAACTGTTTTGAGAATGTGTGTAAAGTACTTAGCACAGTGCTTAATAAGTATCATCATTATTATTAACAGCATTATTTTGATAAAATTACTTTTAACATCTCCCTATGACTGAAACCTCTAATGACTCAAAATGCATCCATTCCATTGCATTTCTGAACATAAAACTACTTTATAAATTACTAATGCTGGAAATTATCTTTTCTAGAAATACTGATGCAGCCCTGGCTGATATAGCTCAGTGGACTGAGCATGGGCTCAACCAAAGGGTTGCCGGTTCAATTCCCAGTCAGGGCACATGCCTGAGTCGTGGGCCAGGTCCCCAGTGGGGGGCAGATGAGAGGCAACCACACATTGACGTTTCTCTCTTCTTTCTCTTTCCCTTCCCACCTCTCTAAAAATACATAAATAAAATCTTTGAAAAAAAAGAGAAAGAAATATTGATGCAATGTTCTGAGACTCAGTTTCAATGTTAGCACTCCAAAATACCCTACATGTCTGGTTAGCCAAGAAAAAATTGGAAATCACAACTATAACCAAGATTAAGAAATACACTATGCCTATATCCTATGAGCATAGACTTGTCTAGATAATTTCTAAGCTTCCTTCCAAAAATTGCCATATACTGCCCTGACTGCTGTTGTTCAGTGGGTTGGGTATGGTCCTGCAAGCCAAAAGGTCACTGGTTCAATGCCCTGACTTGGGAGTGTGAGATAGACCATGTTCCCATCTCTTTCCCCCTCCCTTCCCCTCTCTCTAAAACTAAATACATTTTTTGAAACACACAGAATTTGTCATATACTTTTAAGTTTGGATTATTAGAAAACTAAGCAAGTCTACAGATAGGCCATCTTAAGTTTTACTTGGTTTGTATCACTAGCCTGAAAACAACAACAAAACAAATTTAACTACTTTGGTTTCAGTTCTTTGTGTGGGGGTGAGATGGGGGGGGTACGTCAATTCATGCCAGCTGAGAAAAGTGGCAGTTATGTATCTCATGCAATTGAACTTAAGAAAAAATGGGTTACTGCAGGAACTGGCAAAACCTACTGACATTATTTAAATGGTTGTAGAAATAAAATGAGGTCCTGCTTATTCAACAGAGCTATTTAACAATGACAAAGAGAAAATATCTATATGGCGGGAGACAGTTTGTACATATAGTTTCTAGGATTATTTGTGGTTTAAAGGGAAGCCTCGTTATGTGAACTTTTATTACAACCTATATAAGTAAGCTGTGTTATGTGAAGTACATAAGTTTTGAAGAATCACGTTGTTTTCAATTTGTCACTCATTTTACATCCCAGTGTTCCCCTTCAGTTCTTATATAAGAATATCTGAAAACAAAAGGACATCCTCTAAAAGAAGTACTGGGCGCTCTCAGCGTTGGAGGAGTTGGCCGAAAACACGACTCAGAACCCTTCAAAAGGCACGTGGGCCCGACCTGTCTCGATATCAAGACCGCACCAGCAGGTCTGAGGCACCACGAACCGGCCCTCCCGCCTCGTCATCGCTGTTTTTCTGGCTGGCAGAGCCCAGCAGCAGTCCGCGGCAGGCATTCCACGCCTCTTCCAAAGGCGTGCGGAGAGCCTCGGGAACCATCTCGGAAGCTCACTCAGCAGCGGGGAGGACAAGAGCCAGGAAAGTCGGGGCTCCAGCTGTAACCCGGCGCTTAGCAGGGTCCCCCACCCCTCGTCGGCTGAGCCGCAGGTACCTCCATAGCTGCCTCAGCAACTGGTGGGCAGCCCATCCCGCTGCCGTCGCGTCAGCTCCGAGGCCCTTCGGGACTGCGCTCCCGCAGCAGACACCTGACTGACCTGAGCTCAGGCTTGCGCAGCCGGCGCAGCCGACGCTGCGCACGCGCTCCTCGAGCGCCTCTGTCCCGGGGCGGCCCGCGGGGCGGGAACGCGAACCGCCCGCACCTGCCTAACTGACTAGCCGACCCGGGTCCCGGGCCTCGTGCAGGAGCACGCACGCGCACGCGCTTCGCGCGCCTGCAGTTCGCCCCGGGGGCGGGACCGCGCGGCAGCGAGCGAGCGAGCGGGCGGGCGGCGGTGAGCGGGAGGGGGGCTCGTGGAGCGCGCGCCTCGCACCCGAGGGCTGCAGAGAGATATTTTGGGTGGCAGGAGGCCCCTCGTCATTTCCGCCAGGCAGCTTGTCGTGCTGGGGCTTCACTCCCGCGCGCGAGGCGAGCGGGCAAGTTGGCTGCGGGTTCGCGGCGGTGGCGGCTTTTTAGCTTAGCTTCACGACCCTTGGCAGTGCAAGCCATGAACTGAAGCCCTGAAGAGACGGAGACCTCAACGGAGTGGTGGAGCAGCCAGTGCTTCACCGGGGACCAAGAGGAGCTGAGACCCCGGGGCGTTTCCCTCCTGATCACCGCTCCCACCGCAGCTGCACGCCGTGTGTAAGAGACGCTGCAGCCGAGAAACCCGATACACAAAAGCTGCTTTCTCCGAGCTGCCCGCCCAGCAAGGGACCCCACCTGAGGGCGGCTTGGGCTGCTGAGTTCGTTTTGTGTCTGGGCTCTGCACCCCGAGCGGAACCGATCCCGTGCCCATGGCTCTGATCATGGAACCGGTGAGCAAATGGTCTCCGAGTCAAGTAGTGGACTGGATGAAAGGTAATGCCCGCTGTGCAGAGGCTAGGCGGCCCTGGGTTGCGGGGTCCCGGCATGCAGAAGGAAAGGGAGTCCACCACCTCCGAACCCGCCTCGGGGTTTCCGCCCACCCATCGTGGTGCGCAGGGCGGGGAGGCGGAGACAGTGGGGGTCCTCCGGGGCCGTAGGGGCTTGGGATCCGGGTCTCCTATTGTCTCCAGCCGATTGCTCCAGAGCTGGAGAGGGGCGCGGAGAGCGCGGGAGGATAGGAGGCTGGAAACCAGGCAGCGGTATCCCAGCGCAATCCAGGCGCATCTTGCTCGCTTTCTTGTTCCTCTTGGCGCCCCCAGGCCGGGAGGCCGTGACGACCCTTGTCTCTTCCTTTAGGGAGGACCCCCCAAGGGACCTGCTCCGCTGGTCGCCCCTTCCCGAGCCCCTTTGTTCCTTCGGAACCTGACGCCCCCACGGCGGCTGCCCCTACCAGCTCCAACTCTCCTGGCAACTTTTAAGCCCACATAATGGGGTCAGGATGCGGCCGCCCCAGTTTGGATCGGGAAGCAACCTCTCTACTCCAGATTGGTTTGAGGATGCTCGGGGGATGCTCTACTTTGGGGAGAGGGAAACGTGCTCCCCTGGGACAGCATCAGCGCTGGTGGGCTCCCTCCAGCGCATCCCCTGCGTCCTTTGCCTCCCTTCTCTAGCCAGTTGAGGCTTTGGACCTCAGGGCTTTTGCTGGGGGCTCGACCCTAGGTGTAAGGTGATGTGCATTCAAATTCCTCATTTCTTCCATCTTGAAGTCTCTCCCCCTCTTTTCCCTGGCAGTTTCTAAAAACCATACTTAGAGACGCTGGCCCTCCTAGTTGCAGTCATGAGCTTTTCTCTAGTCCTTGGGCTTTCCTGCCTCACTATCTCCCTCTGTTGTCTGAGTTAAGGGGCCTGTAGAGGACCCCCCCCTTCTCATGACCACTGCTCCCCCACCTCCCATCCCTCAGATTCCTAAGATTTTGGGAATACTGATACGGGGTGAGTGGGACTGAATAAATTATTCCTGTACACACTTGGGAGATTGCAGCTTTGCTCATGGTTATTCCTAGGCACAAACAAATTACATTAGTCAGGGACTAAAGGCTTATCATTTGTGAAAAATGCACCTTCCAAAATGAGGGAGTCCCTTCTCAGGGCATGCTTTGTGGGCAGACTTTCCAAGATCCAGTTACTTTAGAATGAAAGGTGGGGATGATTGGAAGTGATTGAGAAAGATAGGGAGAAACTCATTCTTTTTTTTTCCCCTCTCTCTTTTTCCAGACCTTTTTAGCTTCTTGCTTATTCTTGTGGATTTTCCATTATCCATTTGCTTCCCTTCTATTCCCTTATATGCCCATTTATCCCTCATTTACTTCATGTTTTCCTTTTCTAATATGTGGAAAGTGCTTTGTAACTGCAAAGCACAGTACAAATGAGAGTGTATTGGATTAAATCGAATTCATTATTTATTGACTGCTCCCCTGTGTGCGGTGCATTGTGCTAAGGTGCCATGGGTGCCATGACTAAGACAAAGTCCTGCAGTGGCTCATCTTTTTCTGTTTCTTCTTCTCTTTTCCTATGTGCTATTGAAATTCTGTTTTCCTAGAATCCCACCAGCCACCAACCCCCACCCCTTCTCAGATACAGACAAACATCTGTTTCTCAGTTTCTCAGTCATGGAAGAAAGAGGAGGGTATATGCAAGAAGCAGGAATGGTTAATTTAAACCCTTTCTTTGAATTTGCCTAAAAGATTGCTTTAGTTTGAGTCTGTTACTGAAATTCTCAAAACAAAGCTGTCTTGCCTCCATGGGAGTCAGATTACCTTCAAGACTACCTCTCTCAAATTCCCATGATGCTTATAGAGAGTGTTGCATACTCCATCTTCTTCACCTCCTACCCTCCCAGTGCATTCTTGCAGCTTCCCCTGTCTCTACAGTTTAAGTCCATTGAACCAAGTAGGACATATGATGCACATATTCTGACACACATAATTAGTGTTCCAGTACAATCGTCCTTTAAAAAGCTCTCCAGCCTAAAATGCAGCTTCTTTGAAGTTATACTAACATTGTTAGCTGTGGTTTTAAATGACTGCTGTATTCAAGTTGAATAACTGATTTTCATACCTGTTGGTGACGCATTTTAGAACTATTTGAAAAGGTCAGTGAGGTTGCCAAGATGGAATTTGTATATCCTTGTATACATTAGATAGGAAGAGAATAACTGATGTCATTATGTGTATATTTCAAGTCCAAAATGCTTACTGATGAAATTTCTATAATCTTCATATAAATTTGATTTGATGTATTATCAGAAAATACAATTAAAAATTGTTGGATGGAAGGAACATTTCCTCAACTTGGAACTTATACTGTTGACTAATTAATTTTTCCCTCTCTATACTTTTCCCTAAATAGATTTTACAAAACACATTTAAAAACTACTTGTCACCCTTTCCTCAGATGCAATAACATTTAAAAGTCAACTAATTTAGGCTGTAGCTTTGGAATGGCTAAACCTCATTTAGTGTTGTATACTGTATAGTGTTATAAAGGCAGTACTAAAAAAATTTTGAACAACTGCAACATGGTGGGAGTTTTTCAGAGCAATGTTCTTCAGGGTGACAGTTTCATCACCCTTAATATTTAAAGCTTATTACATATGTTTTCAACTCGTCCCACTCATAGTTATAACTCTATATAGTAAGGTACATGCTTTATGCTCTTTTTAGGGTAGTTTTCTCTTTACTAAAAAGAAAAAGAACCATTAAACACGTAAGAATAGAATGGCCATATATTTATGCTTCCACACAATTTATAGAAGTGGTATAGAAACTCAGTAAGGAGAGAGGCAAATGAAGGGGAAAACACAGACTGACAGGATTATAAAGCTTTAGTAGCATATATTCAAGGTTATTTATGCGGGATCATTTATACATTGCAATTCATTTTTATCTGTCTCTTTTCATTAAATATATTTGAGGGAAACACAAATATTAAATCTACATATTAATTATTGGTAAAGGAATTATTGGTATAGGAAATGCTTGCATTTTTGCTCACCCCAACTCCACTATTTATAAAATACAGTACTCACTAAATTTTCTGTTGACAATGAAAATTTGATGTGACACAGTGTCAGTGTTAGTTACAGTAAATATATGAACTCCTCATGAGTCAGTAAAATAAACTGTTATATTCTAGATCACTCTGATGGTACTTCAGGCTATTTGAAAATATTTTATAGACCTGAAAAAAATTTTACAAAAATATTTTTGAGAAAATAAAAATCATTTAACTTTTAAAACTGACTTTTTTTCCAATTGGAAATTACATTCAGTACTCTTAAAGTTTTGACCAAATTTTAAAACATAAAATTTTTTTACAGTACATAAAAGCAAGGCAGTTATTTAAAAAAAGCTATAGGTAGAAAAGTAGGCCAATAACTTTCTAATCTTTGCTCAGTCTATTACTTTAAAATTATTTTTCAGCTCCTGTATATTCACTTGCAGGGCCTGGAAATATGTCACAATCTGCAGTTGTTTGAGTCTACGTTTTGCCCTCTGAAATATAGCAGAAAATGTCTGAACACTTTAAGGCTCCAATTTATTAATTTTATTATTAATTTTCCTTGTCCATGTCACACCCAGTAATTCCAGTTTTATTCTCCACAGCCTTGCCAACTTTGAAAATCTTTCAAAATATCCACATGACTAAGATAAAGTTATTTTCTAGGGCCAGATCCTTCCATGACATTTTCCCAGTGACCTCAATCCCATTCTGGATCAAATAAAATGGAATTATTTTTTCAGAGTCAACCAACAGGCCCTGCTTTGCTGCTCTTCTCTTATGGTCCCTGTGATTTAGCTTCATCCATTCTTGCATTATTGTGATTCCTAAAGTAATCTAAATTTTATGGATAGCCTCTTCTCAAACCATCTCATGATTAACTGTTTTGCTCTTTCCTGTTTACTAGAAACCATTTTCTTTAAGAAGTGTTCACTGACTTCTAATTTCTGTCCTGATGACTCAGCCATCTTGAGGATAGATGAAATACAAAAAAAGGAAGAAAGTAGACAATGAAATACATTATTTTAGTCATAAAAAGCAAAGATAAAAACAATGTTTTGCATATAACCCTAAAAAGAGGAATATGCAGTTATGAAGTAAGGTCTATTTTGTATAAAAGTTAAATGGTGCAAAAGAGAATATATCTGATAAGGTAAAAAGGTTTTGGCAGGTACAGTGCTTTTTAGTAATTTTTCCTCCTCATAGAACCCAGAGCTGAGGTTGACATATATCTAATTAGATAAAGGAAAATGTCAAAATTTTTAGTTAAACATTCTTGAGACAGAGATCAAAAATAATTTTTGCAGGAACTTGATTATACACTGCAAGAAAAAATTATCAAATTGTCCCTACCACTTCTTTTTTTCTCAATTGCAATGTGACTAGATAGTCACCAATAATCACCTACTTTGGACTTGACATTTTTGGAGTGGGAATTCTGTTATTTCACATGAAGATAAAATTTACCTTTTCTACATGTAGAGTTTAGTTCACAAGAAATATCACTTATTTATAATGTCATTAACATTTGCTCTTTAAATTAACACTTATGATTTAGTGCAGATTAGGAAAAAGATATATTTATGTATATGTATTCAGGTCCTTATATATATTATTTACTCAGTACTTCTTTATGGAAATGTTTTAGTGGATTATTTTAAATAAATTATTCCCTGCTTTGGGGAAATCAGTCTCCCAAGGGATGGCAGTGGCATTGATAAACCTATGCCAAGACAGAGACATGCATCAACTAGCACATTTGGTAAATTTTAAAGTTTCATATGTATACAAGCACCAGTGGAAGGTAAAGATGATGATTTTAGTAAGTCAGGAAGGAATCCATTTGGAAGGTGAGGTTTTAGCAACTGTTTAAGCAATTTAATTAAGCCATATTATAAGAGGGGCATATTCTAAATGTAGAGGCACAGCAAGAG